TTTCCCAGCAGTCCATGGATCCTTGCGGAGTTCACAGAGATGCAGGGACAGGTCGTTGGGCCGTGGTGGGAAAGCACGGGAGGGTCCCCCAAACGAGTGACTTGGGCAAGGGATGAACTTCTCAATGCCAAGTTCACGCTGCTCTTTCTTAGACAAAAGCACTTTGTGTGCAGTGTGCGGGCGTTGGCATTGCTGAAGGGGGAAGGTCCTGCCAGAGGCTCCGTCCCCCTCGGCTGTCTTTCAGGATCCTCGAATCCCTGTCCTGTGTCAGCCTTGGCCTTGTTCTTGCAGTGAGTGGGGTTTGAACCAAAGCAGCCTGGGGTCATCCCTTCTCCCCTCCTGTCTTGCCTCATTTTTCCCCCAGGAGCTGGTTGAGACAGTTTCATTGACCCTGACCAGGTTGGAGAGGCTGAGCTCCTCTGCGTGCCCAGCTCAGGATTGTGCTTATGGCCGTTACAAACCCCAGAAGGATGAGCTTAGCGAGAAGCGCAGATGCTCCGTCTCAGGAGGGCACCCTGCCCCAGAGACAGGATGGAGCTGCGTCTCCCATGGGGGAGATGGGATCTGAGGGGTGGGATGGGCTGGTCAGAGTCGTCTAGGTTGGGGAGGGGAACAGCTTTGGTGTCCGCAGCCCGTGGGAAGCTGCATTACACCCCATGGCTGAGTGTGAGCATCACCCTTTGGCACAGACCTTACCTTTTGCTTTGTGTGCCTGCAGGTGGCTGGAGATGCTGATAGTCTATCCGAGGACAAACAAGCAGAATCAGAAGAAGAAGAGGAAGGTAGAGCCCCCAACTCCTCAGGTAACCCCAGGGGGACACCCACGCTGTTGCCTTGTCCCTTACCTCCGTCTCAGAGCCATGCTCTGCTCCCGAGGAAGATAACCCCAAAGCAGCCGGAGCAGCGAAGCCAGCCCTGTGACGCTGGCTGTGCGGAGGGCGAGAGCCGGGGCGAGCCAGGGCAGCAGGACAGCCTGAATTAATTCCTGGTCGTCACTTCCCAGGGTCACA